AGAAGTGGGCGTCTAACGCGGAGTTATGGAGGAGACAGACGCCGGACCTTCTCAGCTCAACTTCATTCACGTCGGTACACCGGGACTTCAGCCTCCGTCGCCTTTCAACTTCACCAGCCCTGGGGAATGGACAACATGGATAACGAGGTACGAAGATTACGCCTTCGCGGCCGGTATCAACACAGCCACCGACGAGGTGCAGGTGCGAACTCTTTTATATTGCATGGGTTCCCAAGCACGTAGCGTCTTGTCGTCGCTAGGACTGTCTGCTCCGGAAAACCGCCCGTTTGCGGAAGTCAAGGCTAAGCTCACTTCGCATTTTGTCCACCCTATCAATGAGATTTACGAGAGCCGCCGATTTCACCGCCGAGTGCAACAACTTGGGGAGCCGGTTGATGAATTTTTCACCGCGCTCAGGAATCTTGTCAAGCGTTGTGGGTACAACAACGCCGAGATCGAAGACCGCCTTGTGCGAGACAAGTTTGTCGTTGGATTGCGGAATGAGAAGCTATCGGATCAGTTGTGCCGATGTACGAAACTTACAGCTGAGGAAGCGTTGTGCCAAGCGCGTGTTCATGAAGAAGCCGAAAAAGAGCGTCTATCCCGTGAAACTCCCAGCGAGAACGGGGCCTTTGACAGCTTAAACGTGGACGCGGCGCAACGCGCGAAGAACGCTTCATCGCGTCGCAGCAAATCTGTGCAGCCAACTCAGTCTACTTGCGATTACTGCGGCCGTGGTCACCACTCTCGAAAAGAATGCCCAGCTCGCAAAGCCACATGCAATTTCTGCAAGAAGCAAGGTCATTTTATTGCTGTTTGCCGGGCCAAGCATCGGAAAGAGCTGTTAGGCTCAGTGGAACTTCACGCGCTCAGTACGCGTCGGGCACGATATGCCGACATTCACGTGAATGGTCACCTCGCACACTTCAAGATAGACTCAGGGGCCGAAATAACGGTGGTTTCACCTTCTTTTCCGGCATTACCTACTGTTTTGGATAAAGTGGACGCCGAGGTATCCGGTCCTGGAAATCAAAGGCTGCACGTTCTGGGATCTTTCACTGCTACCTTGCAGTGGCGTAACAAAGTGTCTGTGCAAAGACTGTATGTTATCAAGAACCAGACGACACACCTCCTGGGATTACCAGCAATTGAAGACTTGGGCATCGTTCAGTTTTTGGACTCTGTGGATGGTATTCCGTCATCTCAATCAAAAATTTTTCGTGGGCTTGGCGAAGTACAGGAAGAATACCACATCCGCGTCGCTCAAGATGCTCGTCCCTTTTCATTAAGTGTTCCTCGACGAATACCTCTGCCTCTGCTAGAGCATGTGAAGAAGGAATTGGATGAAATGGAAACCCAAGGAGTCATTCGCAAGGTTGACACGCCTACCGCATGGTGTTCAGGCCTCGTCGTCGTGCCGAAGTCGTCGGGCGGGTACAGGCTCTGTGTCGACTTGACGAAGCTTAACAAGGTTATCCAGCGGGAACGCTACATTCTGCCGACAGTTGAAGACATCTTAGGTCAGCTTGGTGGGGCACAAATTTTTTCCAAGCTCGATGCAAGATCCAGCTTCCACCAAATAAAACTAACTCGTGAGAGTGAAGAACTGACGACATTCATCACACCTTTTGGCCGATATTGCTACAAGCGTCTTCCCTTTGGCATTGCGACAGCACCCGAGTATTTCCAACGCTTCATGTCGAGACTGCTCGAAGGCATCACCGGAGTCGTCAACATGATAGACGACATACTCGTCTTTGGTAGGAACCATCAAGAGCACGACCAGCGTCTAGCTGACGTCTTGGCACGGTTGACTCAAGCGGGTGTCACTCTTAATGAAAAGAAGTGTCAGTTCAGGGTCTCTTCTGTCAAGTTCTTAGGAGTTGTCGTCAGCCAGCAAGGAATTAGTCCAGACCCGGACAAAGTCAAGGCTATCATGGATCTCCCACCACCAATCGATGTTAGTGGTGTTCGCCGATTACTTGGAATGGTAAACCATGTGGCTCGATTCATTCCAAAACTGTCTGAGATCTCCGCACCTATTCGTGCACTCCTCAACAAGAATAACGCGTGGAGCTGGAGTTACAACCAAGAGGAAGCGTTCAAGAAGATAAAGTCTTTGCTCAGCTCCGACACATGTATGGCTATGTACAATCCCCATTACCCAACTATAGTATCGGCTGACGCAAGCTCTCATGGCCTTGGTGCCGTTTTACTCCAAGATCAACCGTCAGGAATTCGACGAGCAGTTGCCTATGCTTCCAGATCTCTCACTACTACAGAAGGACGCTACAGTCAAACGGAAAAGGAGTCTCTGGCTGTCACATGGGCTGTCACCAGGTTCGATCAATACCTACGTGGACTAAGCTTTGAGGTCGAATCCGATCACCTTCCGCTTGTAGCTCTCCTATCAAGTAAAGATCTGGACATCTTGCCACCTCGAATTCAACGTATGCGAATAAAACTGATGCGCTATCAGTTCGCCGTCAAGTATGTTCCTGGAAAACTGCTAGCCACAGCGGACACACTATCAAGAGCACCCTGCGACTTGCCAACTTCTAAAGCAGTCAGCAGCTTGGAAGTCTATATAGGGGAAGTTCTCAAGGAGCTACCTTTACAACTGGAAAATCAGCTAGACGAGATCCGTCGTCTTCAAGCTCAAGATAGCGAGTGTTCTTCTATTATGACTTATTGTGAGAAAGGCTGGCCGTCCAAGAAGAGAGTTCCGACCCATTTAGCACCATACTGGAAGGAGCGAGAAAGACTGAGTGTGTACGATGGGTTACTCTTACTGGATCGCCGCATTGTCATCCCGTCAGCCCAACGCAAGGACATTCTCGCACTACTGCACGAAGGACATCAAGGTGTCCGCCGCTGTCAAGTGCGCGCCCGCGAGTGCGTTTGGTGGCCCCATTGCAGCCAGCATATTGAGGACCTTGTGGCTCAATGTGCTAAGTGTGCTGAGACGCGAACCTTGCGTTCTGAGCCACTGTCACCAACGCCAACACCGGAACGACCATGGCAACGCCTGGGAATCGACTTGTTCCACCTGGAAGGACGCGACTACGTCCTCATTGTCGACTACTACTCCCGATTTCCAGAAATAGTCACACTGGGAACTTCATCAGCAAAAGCGGTTGTTGCTGCGGTCAAGAGTTGTTTTGCCCGTTTTGGGATACCAGACGTTGTGCGGACGGACAATGGACCTCAATTCTCGTCCAAGGAGTTCGCCGACTTTGCAACGGCGTATCGATTCTGCCACGAGACCAGCAGCCCTCGATACCCTCAGAGTAACGGAGAGGTAGAGCGCATGGTGCGTACCGTGAAAGATTTGCTGAAGAAAAGCCCGGATCCGTACCTCGCTCTACTCGCATACCGAGACACACCTGGAGTTTCGGGCGTCTCTCCAGCTCAGTTACTCATGGGAAGGAGACTACAAACTCGTCTTCCGGGTCTGCCTGAACGACTTCTTCCGGCCTTACCCAATCACGAGGAATTTCAAGCACAGGATACTGCGGCGAAGTTGAAACAGGCGAAGGACTACAATAGCCGTCACAGTACTACTCCTCTGATTTCTCTCAGTATGGGGGAGGATGTGTGGATAAAGGATTTAGGTTGCAGCGGTCGTGTCCTCAGCCCAGCTCAGCGACCAAGGTCATATGTGGTCGAGACTCAAAGTGGTGTTGTCCAGAGGAACCGTTGCCATCTGGTGCCGTTTGTAGATGACCAAAATGTCCAACAGCAAGCATCAATGGCTTCATCACCGACGCATGGAACCTTGTCATCAAATCCGCCAAGAGACTCAGCCTCGACCTCAGCGTCGGAATCATTGTCTCCAAGTGCTTCAAGTGCTTCGTGCGCATCACCTGTGCCGCCTGTGAAGATGCCTCCCTCGCCTGAAGTGCAGACGCTACCTGTGAAACCGCCGCGCAGGTTGAACATGTAACTATCCCGGGAGGGAAGATGTAGTGGACGCTGAGTGCTATGTTAATCCTCTAATGGATGGCGCTGTCGGCATGCGCGCGCCACCTCATGTGGGGTATATAGCAGGGGGGCAGTTGGGAATAAAGGGGGGTCTTCTTGTTGTTGCTATGAGCCATGCTCGTGTCTTACTCGGCGTCTCTGAACAGGGACAGCTACATGCGCGTGAAACTGTTTTCGCGAGGCCCACTTCGTTGACGTCAGGCCCAATGCCGAGCCTGAAGCTTCCGAACAGGACCACTCCGGCGGCGCTTTGCGGCAGCGCATCGTCGACTCCGACCTGGCAAAGCGGGAGGGACATCAGTTGCGATGGTTTAATTACGGCTGATGATAATGCCGACACCGCGAAACCGTGCACAGTTTAGGGCATTGTGAATTAGGTACGCAGTAATAGCGATTTAGAGGAATCGGACTGTGAGAGCGACGAAAATTTGGAGCCAGTGCCTCATGCAGCTTATGCCACGGGCCTCTGCGAAGAGCACGCTGCCATTTGAAAGAAACTCGACACCACCCTTATCGCTTCTGCTCTTCAAAACACCTGCATCACAGACTTTTCTGGGAAAAATATTTGGTGTTTTCATTCGCAACTTTTTAAAAGCTGTGTTTCATTTACTATGAACTTCGGGATGCAGCGAACGAATGCCGCGTCAGGCTCAGGTTCATTATAAGCAGGCTCGACTGTATGTGTTATATAGTATTCAAATTTGATTTAAACTTATTTGATCAATATCACTATCCTATTCGAACCTAAAATTTACCATTCGCACAAGCCTATCAGAGACACATCTGAACGCAACACAGAGAAAGGGTCCAGCAAAACACTTGGCAATGCTGCGCTAAAAGCATTTATATTTTGTTTCCATTTTCAATGCAAAGCAACGTAACAAGATAGTTCTGCAAGTTGAACTACATTTTGCTATACGTTATTTGAAACAGTTATTTCTGCTTAAATAACTGCGACGTCAGCCTCCATTTTTCAAGCAATGCTGGAAGCTTCACTGTAAGGAGAGACACTGTACCTGTGTGATCATGAAGCCTTCCATTCCTGGAAGACATCGGCTCAGGCTGGAGAGCCCTGTTTCGAGGCAATGAATGACCAGGAGTTGTGTATGGGGAGCTGCGCGGTGAAAGGGAAGACGTCGTTCCCCGAGGTGCTGGCTGCATTGAGAAAAAATAAATTGATATGAAGAGTTAGATCAGCTCCAAGATTCGATCGTGAAGGTGTACACACAAGCGCATTACCAAATAGAATGATGCACCCCCACACAACACACACTTTAACCTGTAAGCATATTCAAAAGACACTTCAGGCTTGCCACAGTGACGTGTTGAAGAAACAGAAAACTGGTTACATGAGCTGTCAGCACTCAGAAAATAGCTGAGTCTATAAACAACAATGCTGAGTGAATGATTAAAACATGCACAACCTAGAAAAATTCGATATTCTGGAGCGTGAGTAAAAAACAAAGAAGCAGTAAGCAATTTTCATAGCCAAAGTGCAAGCCACTGTACTGAATGTGAGAATGCAGCTACGTTTCAGTGATGTTCAGAAAAAGACACACCCAAGTTTCAATCCACTGCACTATAATAGGCACAATTCTTTAGCAGACAAGCAGTACTTTCATGGATGCATAAAAGGTAGAGCATTATTTTTCTCACTTTTGCTAAGTAATTCAGCATATGCAGCTTTTTTTAGCATAACACTGAGAATTTCTCACTTTCATGTTATCTACTGCCTTAACTATGAAATTTCAATTGATATAAAGAAATGTTAACATTCTAGTATTTTTGGTATTATTAGGTTCCTGAATGAAGTTTAACTGCATGTTATGCAGTGCTGTTTAACTAATTGAGTAGTTTGTTTGCTTATACAGGGCTTTTAGAGAGTGTGTATTATGGCTGCATAGCTTTTAGAGCACAACTTAAGAGTTGCAACTATGCAAGCTTCATACCTTTGTGCCTTACTATGTCTACCTAGGATGAAATTTTTTGTATGCCTGCTGAAACTTAATCGAAGACTTCTCAGATTTCATGTTTTAGGATATTCGACAAAGACTTCTATTTACATGTGAGGACCATGATTCGAAGACTAACTTGAATAAGACAACCTAAGAGTGTTTGGAAACAAGTGCTCAGTCAACCGTAGCTATGATGAAAGCAAGCCCCTACAGTACAGATGCCTTCAAATCATGCACGAATTTGGGCTGCATGCCTCACCTCGTCCAAGAGCTGCCGCAGACGCTGAAGCTGAGCCTCCAGCTGCCGGTTGTGGTCCTCGAGAATGTGCATGCGGGCCTCGAGGCGGCCCTTGTGCTGCCTGAGCAGCTTGGCCTCGGCCAGCATCTCCTGGTCACGAGTGGTGCTCCCACTGGGGCTCAAGGCAGCCTCCTCTTCGAGCTGGCTCGGTGTCGGGCTCAGCCCTACACTCTGCATCTCTTGCAGCCGGTCATACTCAGCCTGTAGATGCCTGGAAGATGACGCAAGATGCTGTTTAAAAATGCGGTACGAACTACGACATCGTGAATTCAACACGCACTACTGTCAACAGGCTCTCTCTGAAGAGAATTCCATTAAGTTAAGCTCAATTATTGACACTTTGTACACCCGGCAGGTTTTTGCTTATAGTGGCAGTCTGAATATTGGTACATGTAGTTAATTCAAACACTCACTGCTGTGCATTGACTAGCATTCTACATGACAGAGCCTGTGAATGCCTTGCACTGCTTCACTAAAGGTGACGTGGTTTGATCGAAAGATCAAAATCATGTGACGATTAGCAGGCTTGGTTTGCTGAGACAAGGCATCGCTAACTTTCTAAAATGCACTAATCAGTACAACGTTTGACTTTATGCTTGCAATAAACATCCAAGACACACATAAAAAATTTTCGGTGTTGCAGTAAGCTGAATTGCCTGAACAGACGAGAGCAGTGCTCTGCCATTGAATCTTTCCGAGTATTCCTCAAACAGAAAATTTTGTTTAGGCAGGAATCAGTGAGGCATTCTATAAGCAGAACCACACACAAAAAAAGATAAAAATATTGCAAACCTGTTCTCCTCTTCAAGTTCCTCGATCATCAGTTCAAGCTCATCTCTTTGGTCAGCATCGATGGTTGCTATCACCTGAGCAGGGCTCCGTGGTTGAAGAAACAATGAAGAGTTGCACTGTGCATGGGAGTAAAACACAGGGAAACGTGTTTAGAGTTCAGAACACTTTCAGCAAAAAATGAAAAACCAACAATTACCCGCAACCAACGAATTGTATGACACATGAAAAAAAAAATGGGAAAGCTAGTTAAAACTGTATTCTTTTTCTGTCGACTTGTTACACAAATTGAATTCAAAAGGTCATGGGAAGGGATTCAAGGAACAAGCTTACTCACTTATATGAGTAGTTGACATTATAGCAATATACTGCCTTATAAATGCATTTAATAAATGCTTCACAGCTCCTTTCACATAAATTGGGTAACGTAGGAAAAAAGTGACTTCAATGCACCTTTTAAAAGTAACGATCATCAAGAAACATCATTAACAATATGGCTTCTGTTAATATTCCACGGCACTACACCACCCTTTTAAAGCCGAAACAAGGATCGCCATGATAAGACACCACATGAGGTAGCAATTAACAAGGCAGTATATATATTATATTGTATAGCATTGAGAGAGTTAGATTTCTCAGGTAACAAGAGGAAGAAAAGATAACTTGCTCACCACAGATGATGGGAGCTCTCCACTCAAAGTGTGGCAATACTGTGCAATCAACTGGTGTTCATCTTCACTCCTAAAAAGTATAAAAAGTTTACACTAAGCAACTGTGTTGAAGAGGAAACAAAATGTTATCTTGTTTAAAAAAAGTTTCATTGCAGGAAACATATGGCCCTTTCTGATAAACACTTCAAGGTGTCCCCCTTGAAGAAACAAGCAATTCTGCAATACTATCTATCGGTAATTTTTATTAAAACCATGCGATGGCCGTTTTGCAAACCATACAAAAAAATCCAATCACCGTAGTGAGCATGTGGTAATACGCCATCCTAATTACCATTTGACAACGAATGCTGCCAGACAATAAGTTTAGTATTTCTACATAGGTTAAATTTAAAGCTCTATGAAAACTATTCTTACATTGTAAGCTTTATTTAGAGTTCTGTGACTCAGCTTCAATCAGTTTGCACACTAAAGTACTTGACAAAATTTAAGTTAACATCTGCTTAGCTGAGGAATTGTAAAAAAAAGTAGGGGTGTGCGAATATCAAAATTTTCTAATACGAACCGAATACTGAATAATAAGGAGATGCAATTTGTTTAACCAGCAATCTTTTATGGTGAAAACAGTCCGCTTGTGAGTGTAGCTTATGGTGCAAAAAAGAAAAAAAAAAAAAACGAGAGGACAAGCGCCACGAGCGCGAAGAAGAAAAGGATCATGCTTGTCCTTCTCTCGCGTTTTTTTTTTTTTTCGCGCCATAAGCTACGTTAAGAATGAACCAACCCGCCCAACAAGTCACTCTGCTCCCCTTGTTAGCTTTTCTAGTTTGTTATTGCACAAGAAAAAAAAAATGTCACCATCCGTACTTGCCAGAAAGCATATGACTAATAGTTGAGCATGAAACTGTGATGTCTTGGGTTCAATTCACAAGTCGAACAAATGTTTTGTATCTTTTTTTTATGTGATAGCACTTTACTACAAAAAAAAAGCTATTGTACCTGCCATCATGACTATAGTGAGCATGAGGGCACTCGTTTGATTCCTGCCATGGCAGCCGTATTCTGATGAGGTGAAGTGCACAGGTCACAATTCAACCAGGTCTCCACGCTATCAGTTTTGGCTTATAAGACTCCAGATTTTATCGTTTCCTTTTTAATTCTCTCATCTGTTCAGATCAGTCAAGCCATAAAGGCAAATAAAAGTATTTGAAGCGTCTTTCAACTACACAGCATTATCTGGCTTGCTTCGGTTCCCTTTCTCGAGGACTGCATATTCGCCATTTTACAATCAAGAAAGCTCTGTCACACTGATAGCTGCACGAAGATAACACGATGTGTAAGCCGCGTTGGGTAAGCGCATGAGATAGATGATTACTGATGCGTGATAGAAAGACGCCCCTACTACGCCTTTTTGTTAACAGAGCCACAACTCCCGGAGGCGAGGGCGCCATTTTGCCGGATCGCAACTTCCTTTGGCACACTGGCTGTTAAAGGCAGTCAACTGATGTTGGCGAAAAGAGCGAGATTGCAACAACGGTGTTACAAAGGATTGATTGCAGAAGACGCTGTCGTGCGAGTGCGATGCGTGTACAATGGATTCCCAAAGGCACTGTGGGGAACGCAGCAGAACTACACATCGAATGCCACGAATTTTCGTACGTCACCTTTCGTGCACTGCCGTTAGCAACAGAGAACTATATTTGATGACACCATAGTAACGTCATCGAAAAGTGCATGGCCTTTTCTTTGTTTGCCATTCAACAAAAAGACACTTCTGCTCATTCGCATGACCGTATATATGCGCCACCATGAAATAATTTCGGAACTATGAAGAGAATACATGCTTAAGTAGCTGTACAGCTGACAGACGACGCATGCACCTGCATGCGTGTGCACGTACGTTTGTACGGCAATACATTAGCTAAAACTGGCGCGGCTACACATGAAGGGCGTTACCAACGTACGTCGAGCAGAGCACGCCCCTAGCTAGTTGCGTGCAGGGTGTCGTCTACTAAGCTCACTTCATCAGCGCAACTCCCTGTAACATAACTGTGCATTTGGCCTTGCGCAGAGATATATATATATATATATTTTCTTCATGTTCGCTCAGCACGGGACTGAGCAAAGGCAAAGGTGCGACGACTATTTTGTCGAGCCAATGCGGCGGCAGCAAATTTCCTTCATTTCCACAAAAACGATACGCACTTTATTGAGGCAGTACCAAGCACAAGGGCGCAGCAGCAGACGGCATGGTCAGTACGCTTACGCAAACGGTAACAGTGTCAAATGGCTAAGCCACACCAAATGCCGAGCAGGCAGTATGCGTAGTTTTCGAATATTCGCATACACCTTAAAAAGAAGACATGTTTCTGCAAAATAGTGAGGAACACTTTGCAGTCTGCAAATTATGCATTGAAATGAAGATTGCAGAACATGCTTTTGCAGTGACCGACATCTAGAGAACAGTTAAAGCAAGTTTCATGGGTCAAAAGTAGTGACAACTTACGAGTCCGGAGTTGAGTTACTCCTTGTCCTAAGTTCAGCGTCTGTATACCTATAAATCGAAAGGTGAACATAATTAAACAAGTTTTCACATGCACACTTTTCATGCAATAAATTATTTTACACAATTTGAGTAACTGCAGCAGAATCACCATATGGGATCCAGTCATCATCTCGCAAAGCAAAACACGATAGTTGAGACATTAAAATGATCTCTAACTTTGAACCATATATATTTTGGAGCACTCCACATTAAATTAATGAGAGCACGCTCTTTGAAGATATGCCACCTAAATATGTGTGATACAATGAATTTCCATCCTGACAGGCGATGGGCTTGTACCAAACCAAAAAGGAACTTTGATAACTAATGAACTTGATAGTAAAAGTACCAGATGACAAGTATGAAACGAATAGTGTCAAATAATAAAGGAGTATCAGAAATCACCCAGCTGGCGATTCTGACGTGCCTGTTTGCGTACTGATCAAGACGAGAATGCATGTCCTGCGATGACAATGTGTGCTGCGGTGATGGCGCAGGACTCTCGAGGTCGTCTCCCTCTAGGACAGTCTGCACCGGTAGATAGCCAACTCGAGGATGCTTCTTGAAGTAGCGTTTGGACTTGAACTTGTTCTTCATGATCTTGGTAAAGTCTCTCACATCCTCTCCAGATGTTGTCTGGTGGTGCAACAAAAGTATACATTTAGAGACTAACAAGTCGCAGATAAGGAAACTGAGCAAGAGTAACAGACGCATTGACTATTCATTTATTTATTTCAGAGCTATTGCCACTCTGAGCAGATGGCTTGTGTGGAACACATTGCAGAGGCAGACAAGTACGACTGTAGGCGCCAAATGAAAAGCGAGCAGCTGCAAGGCTTAGCAATGGTATGGTGCGCACCCTCCTGCTGCCAAACAGGAGTGCTGTTTGCCTGTGAATGGTGTTCTGGCTAACGTGCACTATACCCTTTCTAATGCTTTTTGCTGTTCACGCTTCAATTGATGCTGATGGTATGTAAAAAAACTGTGCGATCTAATGCAAGGACATGAACACAGAAGGTATACAAGGTGCACCTACATGTGCAGTCATTAAATATGTACGCGTAACGTACAAATGAAAGACAAAAATGCACAAAGCTATGGGTCGATAGTGACAAACAGCGAGTTTAATATGATGCCATATAGCAGGCAAACAGCAAAACACTTCTACAATACTACAGTTGCAATGACATAACTTGAAAGGGCATATTTGACGGTTTCAAAAGTAAAAAATTCATTGATTACAATACTGCCTAATGTAGTGCAGCTGTTTAGATGCTTTTATTTTGCGATAAGTGGCTGATGCTAAAGCTGTGGAAAACTATAAAGGGCCCTTAAGACTCTGCTACCATGTTTCACACAAAAGTGTCCCTTCGATCAACCCTTGTTTTTTTACCCGAAGCCTCAGGTCAACTTCCTCGTGACCTACTTTCTCATAACCGTGCAGAGGCACACGTTGCATTGTCACAAGAAGCATGAGCAAGCACGAGGCACTACAGATGCTAACACAACTCGCTGGCTCCCATGATAGAAAACTCCTTAGGACAGTCTCTCTTTCGGTCTATTTTGTCCCAGTTCATTCTATTGCTTATGCCAACAACTGCAACACTTCTCAATGCAGAATAAGGCACCTAAAAGCTGCACATTAAAACAAAATAATACAATTATAATAAGAGCGAACAGTGCCTTGTATAACTGAGTCCACATGCTTGTGATTATGGCAGTGAATACGTCTACAGAAGTTCCCAGTAAAATGGAAGCTGAAAAGAGGAAATCAGTTTGTACTGATACTGTATTTAATTTTTTTAACCTATACAGAAATTGGCTATTACATGACAAAATAAAAAGTAAATCTTGTATATTTGAAATTTATGCCTAAATCTCAATACGATCATGTCAGCATGATGTCATGAATTCCAAAGTCCTTCTTTCAAAGAAAAAAAATGCGAGTTCCTTGGAAGCGGGAAAACAAAAGCTCACCGTGGTGCAGTATTCCTGCATTGGATGTGTAACTTTGTGGTTCTTGGTTTTTCTTCCCGAAAAGAAGCAGCTTTGGCAGAGGTCCACATTAAAGCACTTGAGACACCGGTACCTAGAACAACAGACCTTCTATGAGTTTCATGCTGAATACTAAATTTGGAAAGTAAGTCATTCAAGCCGTTTATTTTTTTCCAAAATAAGCTTTCAAAAGTCCACACCTGCAATAAAAAGACGCAACACAGGAATGGTGTGTTTACTACATAAAAAAAAATATCCCCTTTCGAGCCTTCTTATATCAAATTTTGCACCAAGCCAGCTTCAATCGCAAACATGAAAGAGCTTGTTTGAACACTTTGTAAAGACATGCTGTATTTGTGTTATGAATGTCTTCCCGAAGGCTAAGATTTTTCCAGAAATATGCATTCAATGGCAACTACCCAAGTTTACAATGCCACCATAGTTACGGCATGTTATCAAATTGATGTGAAGTCCACTGCTTTGGAAAACGAAAAAAGAAAGAAAGAAAGAATGAAAGACGGAAAGAAAGTGAAATAATTTTGTCGTGTTTGCAAATTATTGCATGACAGTTTTTCCTTTTTAGCAAGTGATGAGAATATACATCTAGAGTCCAGGATCTGTGTTTAACACTAAAGAATAAAAGAAAGGAGCAGAAAACTTGCTTTCCATTACTACCAGGTATCTGAGTATATATATAAAAAAAATAGAACAAGGATTACAGTAGGTTATTTTAATCTGCGAACTAGATAGCACACTCAACCGGCAGCCACATCTGCAAGGATACAAAATTCATTTCAACCCTTCCTCCTTTTCAAAGGATACAGAATGAAAAGCCAGCAAGGACTAAAACTAGTCACGTGGTTCTTAATAAGCTTTAATTTGTTGGCACGTACCATAGCAATAGGTCTCTTGCTCATAAGGCATCATACATCTCATTTAACATTATCATTTCAGTAAATTTGCAGAGCATGACGAAAATTTAGGCTGATGCAGAAGGCAAATTGTTTTGTTTTCGTGTAGAAACTCTTTTGTGCCTACCTGAATCCAACAATTGGGTACTGTTTGCAGCCATTGCACTTTGCCTGGTGTCGTGCGGTCTCGGCAGCAGCCAGGCGATGGAGTACGGGAAGCCACACCAAACTCTGGGGTTCCTGGAGAAGCCAGTTCAGGAAATGCGATGCTTGGATCTCTCGCCGACCAGCTGGGGCGGTCATCTCAAAGCAGCTTCGAACACTTGGCTCAATGTTCGAGCCACCAAAAGCAGCAATCTCGCCAAGCAGCCTCGGAATTTGCACGCAATCGTGGAGCAGTAGCCCTAGCTGACGTTCGTCGGCACAGCCGTTACCATCCGCAATGAGTCGAAACAGGTCTGCAAAAACGGCATAAGCCCGTAAGCACCGCATTAGTTAATGACGGGATATTCGCGAGAGAAAAATTATCCTTATAGCACTAAGGTATCATGACAACTACTTCCAAGTGGGTGTAATACAGGATGAAAAAGAAAAATTGCTACAACTAAGTCAAACAATTACACTCACAGTTAATTGAGCAGCTCTGAGCACTGTATATAGCTATGTGTTTTTCTGATATTAATGAGGCTCTTGTTAGTAAAGTCAACCAGACTACATTCACAACAGCGATCATTAAGGCACCTGAAATGTTAAAAACTGCGAGAACAGCTTCCTTTTTAAATACATGTGACCATGACTAGTACTTACATCTGAATTTGTCTTCAAGGTTACCCCTGCATAGCAGGATGATTCCCACTTTAAATGACAGAATTCTTATGTACCCTGTCCTCGTAGCACTGCAAACAAAGAAAATGTTTAGTTACTGGAATGGCTGGCATGAGACTATCACAAACAAAGCATCCAAATGGAATTGGTAATTGACAAATGACCAATACATCTTTTTAACCGCTTGCATACTGTGCAGTAGAGAATGCACATTTCAAAGCACGAAAGAAGAAAGCCGGACTGGCATACTTCAACGCTTCGCCACGGATGAAAGTTGCCAATCGAGAATGTGAGCATGATGTTTAGTGATGCCATTTGCAATAACATCTTGGCTCAGTACAAAGCACATGCAAGAAACAAGGCTGCCACTGAGCTAAACATGGCATTTCTCACTGTATTTCACAGCAGAGCCTGGTATCAGCAAAGGTGAAGCGTCACCTCTTTTACCGATCATAAAACGAAACTGAAGACTAACCTGAAACACAACCTTGAAAGTTGAATACATGTCCTTTGATTTTTTTTCTTTTTTTTGCAGTGCCAACACAGTGTCTATCATTCAACATTAAAACACTCAAGATGATTCCCTGAACATTTCATGAGAATGACAGCCAGTATGTTATGGTATAAAGAAAAAATGGCAAGTGTAGATGATCCAACCAATTCGACCTCTAAGAACTTTGAGGTCTTCAATGATGATCAATTTAGAAGTAAATGAGGGTGCTCTAACAAGTAACTACCATGTGGTTTTGGCTCGCAGGAACCAATGAGAAAATGGGCAAATGAGCTGAAATATACGAAGTTAAGCCCAAGGTAAATGTTCCATAATGAGTTCCTTTCTTCTATGGCTATAGCAAACAATGATAATCACTTATTTCATTAGTGTAGAAGCTAAAAGAATGCAAATGAGATCAGCTAGAAAATTATTGCCTGCATAGTATCAGTATTCTGGTGATTTGAGATACCACAGTAGTTTGCATTTCATCCTCTCTTCTATTCTTTCCAGAACACCGTAGCGTAAGCACAAATGAAAAATACATAACTGTTCACTGCTTCGAAAGCAAAGCTGAGCTGTAATAGATTGAAAAGCATTATAAGGATCAGCATTTGATGCAACTACAAAGACACTGAATATTTAATTGCATCATTGGACATAGTAGACTTTTGTTAAGTGAAACTTGCAGGGACCAGGAACATGCGTTTCATTTAACAGGAGTTTTTTTTACTCAGAGATAAACAGGGCGGAGGAATTAAGGTACCAAACCAGCCATATTACAAGCAGTTGTTTGATTTGAGCAGCACTTTGATTTAAAAAAGTTTAATTTACTGAAAGCCGACTTTAAGCGTGTTTTTATAAGGTGCAATAATCACTCACTTCCCACAGCAGAGGCAGTCTATGATTTACATAATTTTACAGTTGTGTAGCATGCCCTACATAGAATGGCAACCTCTAACAAGAGATGTGACCAAGAAGCTCACGTGTCGTAGAGGTTGAGCAGCCAGTTGAGACACAGATCGATGCACAGTGGCACTTTTACCAAGTTGGAATGCTCTTGGGCCACACCTTCATAGATGGTTGCTAAGCAAGTGATCATCTCAGGCACGCTAATCAGTTTGTCATTCTGAGCTCGCAGACCATGCTGATCAAATGCGTTGATGGCGTTGTTCATAAAGACCAGGTCCACTAGAATGAACAAATATTAAAAGTGTTAAACCATTATTCAGATATAACCACTCACATTACCTAAATTTGTCAGTAACACACCAACAAATAATGTTAATAGTATTACAAGACATAGCAGTTATAGCCTGACTTAGTTTGTTCGATTACATATATAATACCAAATACAGTGCATAACATGTGATAACTCAGCAACTGTCTTCTCGCTTGCTCACGCTTTCAGGCCAGCCATAGATATACGGAAGGATCTGTCAGGTCAGTAGTCATTAGTTACTGTATTGAGTCGCTCAATGATTGCATTTGCCATATCCCTAACCTCAGTAATCAAAAGTTCAGTTTTTTTTCTTTCGGTCCTGTATAATAAATGCAGCTCCAACCCTCATCAACTGCACTCGAATGAACCGACCCACAGCACCTCCTCGTCCCAGAGTTGTTCTCTTCTAGCTCTTTTTTCTTTAATTAGGGATCCCCCCTCGGGTCGCTTCCCCCTTCTGCCCACCGCCATGCACTGTTTTTTTTCTATCTGTGTGCAGCATGGGCCTCTGTTCTTTTATTTGTTTTTGAAGTATTTTTGCACCACCACAGAATTTATTAACAGTGTCAGGCTGTGAAGTAAGCAGTTGAACATGTAAATCTAGTAGGCGTTTTAGTATTGAAGAAGTCTGTGTGTATTACAGGCTGAAGCAGCATGATAAGCTCTGTGCTACAAATCGGGAGTGGCGTGATTTAGGGAACCAAAGACTGGAAAGATTCCCGATGTAGAAAAAGAGGTCTTAGAATATGTCTGGGATCTGTGAAAGGAAGGCTGTGTCATTTCGCACAAAATAATCAAGACGCCACAGCCAAGAGGCACGATCTCGCAACCACCACTTTCAAAGTAAATACATAATTGGTGGGCGATAAGCGTTATACGGCGACACGGACCATGCTTGAGAAAGCGCACATCACTTTGTCAGTCACTGCTTTCTTGTTATGAAGAAAAAGCAGCGGACATTGACAAGTTTGTAATATGCAAGCAACAGAACCAAGAGTAGTTGATGCATATGTTTACTGCACAAAGTCAGGCATCTGACCCTTTTTTTTTTTTCCTCGTCCCAACAAGTTCTTATAAAATTTACTCTGCATAATAAACACACTTTTCAACTTTGCTTTGGTTCCTCAAAAAAAAAAAAAGTGTGTTCAGAATACAGGCATAAATGGTACATAGTTTTCAAAGTGCTTATAAAAACACAAACTGTTCATCTGTTAGTGAAAAAAACAAATCTGTAAGGCTAAGGCTGTGTCTTTATTAAAAAAAAAGCGTAGCATTCCATAATGAAGGTGAGATACAGCTGACAAATTACTCACAGCAAAGGTTTTTTTGTATGGTCCTGATCTTCATCGATGTTCTGTATGCAGAGTACCGGACATCATTAAATTCGGCTGGAAAATAAAAAAATTCCCCTTGAAATGATTATTCATGCTTTATTTACAGATGGCTGCTTAATGTACAGTAGCATGCCACAATCCATGAACACTTCACTTCATCATATTGTCAAGTCGCTAACATGTCATGAAGAAATAAATAATTGAAGCATTTCTTACCAAGAGAATCCATCAGTTCTAACATACGGGGATGATCCCAATGCGTGGTTTCGGTAACATGGCTGAAAATAGAACAAATGGTTTTTTGACGTTCGCAACCACAGAGCCAGTAAGCAGAAATGACAAAAGAAACCAACCAGGAACATTAGGTTGTACTACTTTATCGAAATGCGAACAAAAACCCTTACTTGATATAGTAAGGCACTTTGTTTCCGGCCACAGCTCTTTCCCACGGCTGCTCCACAGAGGCTAGAATGGAGAGCATTAATAGTAAGAAATCACCAATGTTACAGGACATGAAGTTTTTCTTGCGGATGTCCCAATGAAAAGGCAAACCACAGCCCTTTAAACCATTCATAAGACAGAACAGCAATTGAGGCACCAGCTCTTTTTGCCAATATTGCAAAATAAGCTCAACTCAAAGAAGCGAGAAATGAAGACAAACAGTTCACCCCCATCAAGATAGATTGTGCTCTTTCTCAAACAAACGTGCACTGACTCCCTAATGTTTCCCGTTTGTTTTGTCTCGCTTATTCGAGCATAACACGGTCCCAAATGTGGCGCCTCACATGTGTGCATTTAACATTTTTGCAAACTTTTAATACTCTCACTGCAATGACTGTTTAAAATAACGAATAATTTTTAGCAGTTCCTTGAGATTCATTGTATCGAGATTTCACTGTAGTATTACTTGCATTAAGAAGACACCTTCCCTTACATGACATGCATGTAGTGCTTCTTTTTTTAAATTTAGTTTTCAGAAATATTTTGGCTCTGTGGTAGAAGACTTGCTTGCAATGCAGATGGACTGGGATGAACCCTCACTTGGACCCGAAAATGGTTGTTAGTACGCTCAAAGCTTGATATAACAAATTAAGATATGATGAATTATCTGTTATAACAAAGTACTAAGTGACCAATAGTTTTACCATAGATACAGTGTTATAAATGATTGCTTATAACTCATTTTCAGATATAATGAAGTATTTTTGTAGCAGATATGACAGTTATAACGAGGTTTGAGTGTACATACCTTTTTTTAACCTACTTTTTTTCAGTCACGAACAAGATGATTTTTTGCTCGCAACCAATGTCACTGACTACACGCCAAAATTTTTGCGAAACGAGCACTTTAAACTATCAAGTTAAAAAAAAGCATAACCGAGCATTACTAATGGCAATCTGCCTCATGTCCACACAGAGTTATTACCAGTTAGTTCTCAGGCTGTTTTCACAACAATAGACTAGGGGCCTTGTTATTAAACAGTATTCACACGACCCATGGCAATGCTCATGTACAAAAGCAAGCAGTATTTGCAGGTCATCAAGATGTGTCCTCAGATTTCATACCCCAACCTTTTCTGTTCAGCTTTTGCAAGCAAAAGTTGCTGCAGGAAATTAGGTGATCAGCGCTTTCATGAAAATTATTATTATCTTGATTTTAGCACTTGAGATTTTACAAACGTGAGTGTACAACGTGCCATTTCCCGATTGCCAATATTCACGATGAGCGTTGGCTTATTGAATTCCACATATTCCTTGGCAAAAGTTAAATACTCTAGTGGTATGTAGATATCATCACAGTAGACACGACACGTCCTAAAAATGTGTCATTCAAACAATTATTTTAGATTTTCTATCGAAAGTTATATACCAACAAAAAAAAATGCCATCTGGTTTTGACCTGGTGCCTTGGGTGGAAACAGTAGACAAGCAGGTGCATGACCCATTTTGTGAGGTTGTGTAAATAAATATGCTGGTAACTGCATGTATGTTCAACATTTTACCATTGAGGAACTGCTGCTGCTGCGAGCCCTGATCAAGCAAGGAGTTCTCTAGCTGTCGACGGCGCTCATCAATGGCCACCTGCAGGAGGCGCCAGCGGCTGCTCAACTCATCCAGTCGGTTCAGATTCCCCTGTGACAGCAGAACTCCACAGCTCGTGATAGCACCGGCTGCTTCATTCAGCGATTCCACCTGTAACTGCAGCGGAGCCAGCCGATCGCGGAATGCCTGCATCCACAGGAAGACACATGAGCATTGAACCTTTTCACAGATGACAGGGTACAAGGCAGAACAATCAGTGGAATGTTGGGTCCATCCCAATCAATATTACAAACAGCCCATGGTACTTTCACATCAAGAATGTGCATCTCTACCAGAGACCTTCAGGTAATCCATTTATTGCAAGCATAGGTTGTAATAAAAGAGAACTCGCAGAAATTCCTCACAAAATAAACTTATTTTAACTTGAAGGCTCACTTGGACTGAGACTAATCAGAACTCTACACTGCCAAGCTCATTTGGAGACCAATTGATGAAGATTCCACTTTGCAGTGCTTACTTAAAGCCAGTCTCAAGGGTAGATCCAAGTCTGTGCGACGCTGAGTAATTTGACTCGCAATTAAATTTGTGCACCTTCAGCTGATTCTACCTAACGCTGCCTCTGTTCACATTTCCGCTTCCATTGGCTACCATTCTGCTTTCACTAACAGATGACCAGGTATATGCTCATAAGTATTATACATGAAAACCCCCAAACTACAGTTCTTCACCGTATTGACTGATAATGACAACTCGTAGTTTATTATTTAAGTGCCTTTTAATATGAAGGAAGTGTGTGAGCTCTGACTGCAACAAACACTGATGCAAGGCTACACTCACTCTTAATTCGTCAATCTGGCCTGCCAACTGGTCCAGCAGGAACTCGGACACAGGAGTCCATTGGGCTTTTGCACTTTCAGCAACTTGAAGTCGAGCACTAAGGTCATCCATTGCTCTTTGTAGAGACTGCATCTTCTGTGAGCGAGATATGAGGAACAGCGAGTAAGGTGTAATGAAAATGTGCAGCTAAAGCGCACTATATGCATAGCTATAAATGCGTGGGTTCATATTGAGGTGAGATGAGCTACAGCAGTAACTTGAAACAGACAAAGAAAAGCTACATCAAAAAAGAAAAAAAAAACAGATGTGTATAAAAATTTTAAGTGAGAAATTATAAAGTACACATGTTGCACTTCTAGGATGTTTATTTGTTCCCCACTTAGAAGAGCGAAAATTAAAAACAGATTTCCTGGACTTTTAAATGAGAACTGCAATACCACTACACTATACATGTTGACGTAGTTAACTTGGTATTATTCTTCACCAATGGAGACTGAGCGTGTACATAAGAATAACAGCAGTTTTGCATCTTATATATATATATAAGCGTGCATAAAACGTAACTAATGCAACAGAAATCTGAACCTGCAACTTTGTGCATTGTATTAAATAAACAATACTGCTTCATGGCAAATTAGAAGTCACAACAAAGCTTTACTTGTCCCCACTAGAAGATAAAAAGGACACAGGTTTCTGTTTTGAATAAAAAATTTTCAAGAAAACAACAGAAAGCTTGTGTAATAAACAAACTTGTCCCCGATAAGTGAAAACAAGTGAGGGAATTAGAGTCAATAAAAGTATACATATTCCAGAGTTAAAACAAGTTGTAGTGAAGTTTTCTTACATGAAGTACGTCATCCAGCCTCATTTGTCTTTGGTCAGTGTGGCTTAAGAAGCCATTCCATTTGTCTGCCAGTTTTTTTACTTCTCTTCGAATGCTGCGAGTAATCTCCCTAGCTTGCTCATCAGCACTCCTGTAACCCCTGCTGTCATCGTAATCTTTGGCTGAAAAAAAAAAAAGTTTATAACGTTTTCAAGCAAGATAGAACGGTCTATATACTTTACTGCATCAGCCTTCAGTCAATGCACTCTATGATAATCTGGCAACGTTTGTGTTATCAGTCATCCAAATATTCACCTTCCACAAATGAATGAACATGTCACTTTTTAAGATTAATCTTTAGGTTACAAAAATGAATGATAGATTGTTTGATTCTGTGGCATATTTGCACGGTGAAAAATTGTACACAGGTATACCCTTATGCTTGACCTTTATTGCTGCTAGAAAACCATCAGCAAAGAAGAGTGACATACAATCAAATGAAGTAAAGTGTAAAGCTAAGGGCTTGTTTCCTTTGTTAGGCACAATATTAATGAGAACTAGCAGACAATAATGCTGGGGAAATTGTAGGGGATGTTATAAGATGTAACTCTACTATATATTTGAAGAAACAAAAACGGACAAAAAGATAACTTGTGATGGGCCAGGACTGAACCTGCAACCATCACCTAACGTGTCCGATGCTCTACCAACTTAGCTACTATGGCGGCTATCCGCCCGTCCACTTTATGGGGTATATGTGTGTCTTACACGTGGGAGTGTCAATCAGCGCCACCTGTTGGCATAATTCTGCGCTTGTGCTCGTTCCAATCCCATCTTTTCCGTGTCGTTGTCTTTATTTGCGCACTCCAGTTTACCTTGAAGGTGTAGCACCGGACGTGCTATTCGAAGGTCGCAGGTTATGTCCCTGCCAACAGCTGGTTATCTTTTTGTCCACTTTTTTTTCTTCAAATGTACAATACAATTACATCTTATAATGCCCCTATACTTTCCCTGCTGTAATTTCCTGTAAATGGTATCACATCTAGGAACCCATGTTATACAGACTTCACAACAATTCCCACCAAGGTGCCTTTAAAATCAATGCAAGAGCTTTCAAATTACAATTCTTGAAAAAAGCTGGATTTTTAAGATTTTCCACATTTAATGAGTGTCAATCTGGATATAAAGAAAGGAAATACATATATGCCACTTACGTTTCTTTAGTTGCGGTACCTGAATAGAGCTCAAACACATTTAGATGAACTTTTTAAAGGTGGATACCTTAGATGCCTCATAAAACACAAAAACTGACCATCTGTGTGATCAACACCAGTGATGCAGAAAATCATCACATGATGACGTAATCGTGACGTCATCACATGAATTATTGCTAGGCCAAAGTGAGCTTATTACAAAGGCAGTGCAAAACTGAATGAAGTGCAAAAAGCTTCTAGAGGGGAATAGGAGATTACCAATAAATCGACTGAGAAGAGATTGAGAAATCGATCTTCGAGTCACCACCACCATCATCATCATCATCATCAGCCTCACTACGTCCACTGCAGGACAAAGGCCTCTCCCATGTTCCGCCAGTAAACTTGGTCCTGTGCTTGCTGCTGTCAATTTATACCAGCTAACTTCTTAATCTCATCTGCCCACCTAACCTTCTGTCTCCCCTTAACCCCCTTGCCTTCTCTAGGAATCCAGTTAGTTACCCTTAATGACCAGCGGTTTTCCTGTCTACGTGCTGCATGCCTGGCTCATGTCTATTTCCTATTCTTGATTTCAACTATAATATCCTTAACCCTGGTTTGTTCCCTGATCCACTATGCTCTTTTCTTGTCTCTTAAGGTTACACCTATCATTTTTCTTTCCATTGCTCGCTGCGTCGTCCTCAATTTAAGCTGAACCCTCTTTGTAAGTCTCCAGGTTTCTGCTCCGTAGCTAAGTACCGGCAAGATACAGCTGTTATATACCTTCCTCTTGAGGGATAGTGGCAATCTACCTGTCATAATTTGAGAGTGCTTGCCGAATGTGCTCCACCCCATTCTTATTCTTCTAGTTACTTCAATCTCGTGGTTAGGCTCTGCGGTTATTACCTGCCCTAAGTAGACATAGTCTTTTTCAACTTCAAGTGCACTATTACCTATCTCCAAGCGCTGCTTCTTTCCGAGGTTGTTGTACATCTTCGAGTACACTTACGTAAATGAATTATGGACTCTGCAAGTTTTATTTTCTTTCTACAGCGATGCCACAGATTATAAAATTTAATCGAAGACATGCTCACCTTCAGAATCGCTTGTGTCCGACAAGGGAGGCTCTCTTGCGATGTATTGACGGCCAGCAAGTAAGCTGCTCTCAATGATTGGTCGCTTGTCATCCACAGCTCTCCGAAAAGCTCGATGGTCCTCCTGTTGCTTCATGATGGTGGCTACATCTCCGCCAATGGCTGGCTGCGCTGACAGCTCTGTCTCCTTCTTGATCACCCATTCAGTCAGCTCACGTAGCGATAACAGCAACTGGTTCCAGTGTTCAGCATTGCTTTCGAGACGGTTTCTGAAACAACACAAATCCAGATACACTGGTCAGAATATCTTTGTAGTGCAAACGATATGTGACATCCGTAAGAGCAAAAGAAAAGGTCCAATTGAATGTAAAATAGCAGCCTTGAAAATTCTTTAGGTGGATTAGCTATTTCCATGAAGCATCAACACAATACATTGCCAGAGTGTGCTTAGTCTACTAAAGTATATTTAATCTGACGAGTGAATTAACTTAGCCCATAGATGGTGAGAAGATTCGAGATGAACTATCTGGTCACTAACAACACTTATGTGAGGGTCACGAAGAATGTCATCTGTATTACTTATAAGCCATTTAAGGTAACATTTTAAAATCCATTAAAAGCTTATCCTGCTAAAAAAATGTTGATGCCTACTTTGCAGAAAAATAAAATAGGAAAATATAGTGAGGCTTACTGCACAGGGCTGCCTCAGAGGTAGAAATGTTTAGAGGTAGGAATAGATGACAATAGTTTATCCACAATTTAAATGTGAGAAAGAACCTTCAAGGCACGGGACAATAGCTTACCGCAGCGATACAGTCCTCATTCTTAAATTATTCCATCGGCTGTTCATTTCATCGAGCTTCCTGTGGAGGTGGTGAGCCTCATCAGGCCTGTTCATAGATTGCAGCACATGAGAACTGCGTTCATTGATAGTCAGGTGCAGGTCTCTTTGGGTATCTATCTCACGCTGCAATTCCTGCACAACAAAAAAAAAAGGAGCACTATATGCATTCATACATGTATGACTCGAGATACACTACCATAAGTATGAAAAGCAAGCAGAAAAAAAAAAGAAGACATGAAACAGCAACAGGCGTTGTATAACAATGAAAAAAGCACCGCAATGTTGCTCATGCTGCATATAAGTCATTAACATATCACAACATCTAACACATCACACATAACAGCCCCGTTTTCTTTGCATGCATAATAACGACTGCATATACATAACTGCCACACACAGATTAGTCACAGTGTTCCAGAACAGAAGTTTGCATTTTGGAATTGAGAACCTCTAATTGGCAAAATTGAATAAGCATTCAAACTAACAATTCTACATCAAACAAATAACTGTTTTGTCTTACAGTGAAAAAAATTTTATTCATAAAAAATAGAAATGCGTCTATAATTACAACAAACATTAAAATGGAAACTGGTACACTGCAGTTTAGTGCACTCGCACAAAGAAAACGAGAGAAAAAAGACACACACACGCAAATGTTGCCATTTTGCCCCAGTGAGCCATAAACACGCTTTATTCGCTTCTTCGACAGGGTGTACAGGCTCGTGGAACAACACAAAATGGTTGACGCAATCCCGCGGAAACGCTTAATGACCGGCTACATTTTTTCCGTGCTAAAGCTGAAGTGTCCAAGTTTCTAAACGCAGGCATGCAAACACGAATGCATAAAACGCCTGTGCATCTGGAGGCAGCCATAAAGTTTAATTGTTGTGCATATCCCATAACTTTCAATTACGCTGCAGCGATATAAAGCCACCCCATTTTCAAGAACGACCACAAAACTAAAAAAGAATGTCATAAAAAATAAACCCATATAGAATTTTAGAAATATGGCCGGAGATGAGGCCCCCGAATGTTATGCACCACCGCAGTGTTCACTATCGTAAAGAGAAGACAGCTTTACAGAAACTGGACAGCGAAACTGAGGTCACGAAAACGAACATTTGGGCGATACGGACAGAGGTAGTATTTTGCTCGTAAATTTAGCAGCTCAAAATAAAGAAATTGTCCAGCATAAAGTAAAACGATGTGAAGAACCCCAGGTGGTCAACATTTCCAAAGCCCCCTCCACTACGGCGTCTCTCATAACCACATGGTGGTTTTGGGACGTTAAACCCCCCACATCAATCAATCAATCAATCAATCAACGATTCATAATTATGAGACACGACTGCTACAGTAAGTCACGGCGACACGGTCATATTCTTACGAGTAACTTATATTATAGACAAGATGCGACATACGGATTCCGCTGAAGTAAAGCTCGTTGCTTATAGTTGGTGAAGTTGCTGATTGCGTCCGTAATTGTATTCTTTTCATTGATATGTGGAGGGGCACATTTGCAGCTATTTCCGAGAAGGGCACATGGACACAGCGAGCGAGCGCTACAGAAAGTAGGCGACGTCACGTTGGTGCGGCGCCAGGATAGTCCACATGTAGGATCTCTCTCGGCGCTTCGTGCACCGCATGCATTTGCTCGATCCTGATGCTAAGCATACAGGACCGCCGAGCATGCATCGGCGTCGGAAGGGGGGTGCGAAAGGGGCACTTGCCGCCCCTCAAACCTCATCGGCACTTGCCGTCACCCAAGTTACACCGGCGGTATCCACATCCCTGACGCGATGTAACACTAGTTTGCACTCCTTCCTTCCCCCCCCCCAGAAAAAAAGAATAGCCTGCCGACGACCGTGCCACCGAGGGAGCGGAATGCACAATGCGAGACGTCGACTTTGAACGGGCGTGCTGCAAGCGATAGTTCTGACACAGACGAAAGTAATCGATAAAACCGCGGGCACAAATAACTCGCACGTAGGCACAAAAGCGCAGTAAAGTTGAGCCCTGACGCACAATGAAGAATAGGTTGTTGAGGTGGTGCGCGTTCACCGCGAAGAATAAAACCGAACACATCCGCGATTCACACGAACAGACGATCTCCGCCATGCTTTTGATTCTCGAGTGACGCTCTCGGATGCTAATTGGTTCACACAATATTCACGTCGAACGCTGACAGAAATGCGGTCATTCCTCTGTTTAGATATGCGCAACAAAAGCGGCACACATGCAGCATGTACAATTACCGAGAGAAGCGAGTGGCCGACCAGAAGGGGGTCTTCAGCACAAAACCAGCCTCAGCTCGCACGAAGTGACACCCCCTTTTTGACGAACGAAGCGAGCTATTCTATGCGCCAACGCCCCCGACTGTTGTAGCTTGCATTACACAGCTGGGATCCTTGAACTCGGTGGTTCACTAACTGTGCGAACAACAGCGCAACAAAACGAAACGGCAAACGAACGAGGCCAGTTCAACGAAGGAACGCAGTCGCCCGCGTCGCGATATTCGATGCCGCATCCGGTCCGACCGACGGGCGGCTCTGAAACAATGCGGTGCAGTGGTCGCCGATGATGTTGGCCAGCTGCCGAATAGACAGTCATTCGTGCGGTGTCAGAATGCTGCAGGCGACCATCCTGTCAGGCCGCGGGTTCGATTCCCGGCCCCGGCGGCCTCGTTTAGTACGGAAACAGTTCTCCACTGCGGCGTGCCTCGTATTCGTTTCACGGTTTTGGCACGTAAAACCACGCGATAACAATTATTAGACTGTCTCGCCATTGGCTATGGCATGTCGACCCTGCGTTTGCTCTCGTAAAACAAATAAATCGTCAACGCCTGAAATACTCGCCTTGAAGAGATGACGTCTGATGAAGCAATGATCCATTCATCGAGGCACGATAGCAGCGTATACTCGACTCTACCCATCGCAACCCAAACCTTCTTATAGCCATTATAATGCAGCTCAACGATGCCTTGCCAACACACAAATTATCGTTGAAGTAGGCAACACCCCACCCCCTCCCACTGCGCACGCCTGTCTCCATCCACACTCCCTGTTCAAGAATTCATCTCTTTAAAGCCAAAACCGATACACACGTGCGCTTTCGGAGGAGCAACAGCAAAAGCAAATTTTCTCCGACAGAGTTTTTGACCACACATGTAAGCGATTTTCGCCGTATACCGAATTTCCAGCCAGCCGTGGCAATGCTGAAAGCGGCACGCCTGCAATAGAAAAGTATAAAGGCACAGGAAGGAGGCATCTAAACGACCGAGGAAGAGAAATTAAGCGCAGCTACTCTGAATAATAGATAAATGCGTTCGTTTCAGTCGCGAACACGTAACAGGCGTCCGTTTGCATGCACGCAAACCATGTAAACAACGGAACGCGCTCGGCAAGCTATAAAAACCCGGCAACGTACATTTATATTCCAGAAACACAAAGTGGTTGTTCCTCTTTCATTTTATTTAAAAAAAATTCAATCACGCATTCGATTTTCGTGCAAGTGAACTAAATATAAGAGTGGATGCAGTCTGAGGGAACGGATGCGGAAGAGGTGAATCGAAGGTGAAAAGTACAACAGGAGAGCCATGCAGAATTTTAAACACACAAGCGGCACGCTTGGAAAGAAAGAATGTGTGCGAGCGAGCAATGACCCGTGGCGTGGTTCGGCTGAAACAGAGTCTGAAACAGCGCAGACAGAGGGAACATGACGGGCAGGATCACGCCTTTCTTTATGAACTTTTAGAACTGTTAACTAAAATGCGCGAGTGACAGGCGCCTATTTATTTTTAAGGCGAAAGCCTTAAAATGCCTCATCGAACTCGAAATTTTACCGTGGGCGGCGTCGGAGACGAGTGACGCAATAAACAATTATCTCGTGATGGCAACGTGAAATTTAGTGACGTCATCATAACGGGAAGTCCGCGATGGCTTCATGACATAGCACCGTAGCTTAGTCGAAAGTGGTCTGATAAGGGAGGAAATGAAAAAACCCATTAGGCGTAGAAAGTTTTCGAAGACTGAAAAGAAAACGATGAAGACTTTCCCCTTCAAGTCGTCGTCTTATAGGTGAATGCATAGGCAGGGTGTTTTTTTTTTTTTTGAAGTTGGGAATTGGTATGAAAAAAAAAAAAAGCCGGTGAAAGTGAAGAGGAGGAAGAAAGTATAGTTGACACTAACAAATTCGCTGAATATGGTTGCCATCCTGCTATCTATTTGATTTATTTGTGTTTGCGAGGAAAACGACATCAAGAGGAAATCCTGCTGTAACTGCCTAGTCGACGGCTAAAGAACGCCGAACGCCAGCAACGGCTCTTATGGCATGCATGTGGGAGTCGACGTAATACCTAAAGAGCAGAGAGAGCAGGGCAAAAAAGCGAGGAGGGGAAGGGGGATTCATGCAATATTCGAAGCATTTACAAAAGCTATACTGCTAGATCGTACAAGTCAGCACACACCCCTTCTTATTCTCTTTACGACTAAGCAAGTATAGAGCTATGATTCCGTATAGATCTGCAAGCAGCAGTAGATTTCAACACGCCTCTGTCCTACGTTGTAACGTATACATCCTTGCAAATGAGGTTGTATATTATTACCTTCGCTATTTCACGTATGGAGACAGGTCCTTTTATACATAGGAGATATTCAAAACGGCAGATTGATGAAGGTGTTACACGGATTACGAAAAAAAAAAAAAAAACGGGCACTTAATTGACGCGGACACAAAACGAACGACAAACCGGCGTTCGCGTTCCGAAAAAAAAAATGCATTCTCCGAGCATCCATGTTATCGACATTCGCTTTTCTCCGAGCAGCAGGGGCGATTCACGCTTTTAGTTGAGAGCTATACACGCGGCCCTGAAATACGACTCCAACGGGTTTGGTGCGTTCCGGGAGCACGTGCTCGAGCCGCTGCGCAAGCGTGCGCACACAGCAACACTAGCGAACCCTCGCGGTCGTCACGCAACGGCAACAAACGATACACTCGTGGTGGAAATTTTCTTCGACGAGAGGGCTATATACAAGAACGGCGGAGAAAAATGCGATCGCGAAATGCGAACATGTGCGTATATACCTCGAAAACGACGTGTACAGATGCTCTACTCTGAAACTGAAAACAGAAAT